CCCCCCCCTATTTTTGGAGTGGGCATCCCAGAGAAGGGCAGTGCTGGGCTCAGCCAGGGTGGGCAGGGGCTTCCCAGCAGAGGGTAGACCTCAGCAGCTTGAATGCTACTCAGTGCCCATTTGAGTGTCAACCCCACTGTCTGTCAGGCCCACTGGTCTGCCTCATACCTGGGAACCAGTGGGAGCAGCCAGAGCCACAGCTCCTGGCCCCAGAAACCCTCAGGTCCTGGAAGACCAGCTCACACTCCATGTCTGGCTGGGTCAGGCTTCCATGAGCAGTGCGTGGAGTGTCTAGAGAAAGAGCCAGCCATGAACAAGGTAGGGTGCAGGGCCCAGGCTGACCCCCTCCTGCCTCCCACCCCTGACCAGGAGCGGGAATACATCCACCAGGGGAAGGAGGCCATGGCTGTGGTGGACCAGATCTTGGCCCAGGAGGAAAACTGGAAATTCGAGAAGAGTAATGTAAGAAAGCTTTCTCCCACCTGCCCTGCCCATGTGTGTTTGGGGTTTTCTCTCCTTTTTCTGAGGCCTGAGAAATAAGCCCAAGGATTACATGGGTTGGAACCATATCCCTGCCCCAGGAGAGGGGTCTGAGCTGGGGTTGGCCTCTTGGCAGGAGGTCAGGCTGGATTGGATGTTTCCACTGCCTTTTCCCCTTCTTCCCCCTCATCTCCCTGCTGCTCTGCTTCCTAGGCTCAGCTTTGAAGGGGAAGCCAGGCTTCTGCCGTGTCTGGTGTTTTGTTTCATGATCAAAACAATATTATCTAAAAAGATGGCAGAGAGCTTGGAAAACAGAGGGGAAACATCCCTGTCCCTGTCTCTGGCTAGTTCCCCTGGCAGCACTTGTCAACCTGGAGACGTGGTTCTTCGTGCTTACGGCCACAGCTATGCTTCTGTCTTTTAACTTGATATCAAAAGCCTTTCTCTCCTTGTTGTGGACATTTGTCAAAACCACTGTTTTTTTTTAACTGCTGCTCAAATATCCCCAGACTCCTGGAGTTTTCTGCCCTGAGCTGTTAAAAACCTGAAGTCACCCATTCCTGAGCCACCAGCCCACCCCCTATTCACTGTTCTCCTTCTGTCCCTCCCACAGGAATATGGGGACACTGTGTACACCATCGAGGTTCCCTTTCATGGCAAGACGTTCATCCTGAAGGTGAGGGAATTGGGTGTTCTGGAGCATCCTGGAGCCTCCTGCCCCATCTGGGACTCCAGGCTGAGGGGCCCTCTGGCTGATTTCTCCCTGCCAAGAGGAAAGGGCTGCTGTGCCCGAGCACCCAGCCCTCTCCTGCCCTGCCCCAGGCCTTCCTGCCCTGCCCTGCGGAGCTGGTGTACCAAGAAGTGATCCTGCAGCCCGAGAGGATGGTGCTGTGGAACAAGACGGTGACTGCCTGCCAGGTGAGCCTGACTGGGAGTCACGGCCTGGCCACCTCTCAGGACAGAGGCCAAGTGACATGGTAGTTCAGGGGCAGTCATGCCCTAGCATGACCAGTTACCCCAGGGGACCTGGATCATGTCATTGAACTGCTCTGTGTCTCAGGTTCCCCATCTATAAAATGTTTCCTGGAAAAGGTTGGGAAAATGGACAGAGCGCTCGGCCCAGGCCCCGTGAATGGGAATGGCTGTTAGTAAAGGGACCTGAGCAGAGAGCAGGCTGGGCTGGTTGTTTCCTGAGGTGCTCGGTTCTGCTGGGGTGGGCTGCACCTCATGTCTCCCCTAATGGCTCGCAGATCCTGCATCGAGTGGAAGACAACACCCTTGTTTCCTACGACGTGTCTGCGGGGGCTGCAGGTGGCGTGGTCTCCCCCAGGTGAGTTCCCACCACATCCCTCCACTCAGGCAGGCCTCCTGTTCCTGCGTCTTGGGCTTGGCATCCCCCTGACCTAACCCTCCCTCCCCCAGGGACTTTGTGAACGTCCGACGCATTGAGCGGCGCAGAGATAAATACCTGTCATCAGGCATCGCCACCACCCACTGCGCCAAGCCCCCAACGCACAAATACGTCAGGTGAGCCTTGCCTTGCCCAGGGTCCTCCCAGCCAGCCCCTCCCTGGGTGGCTGTGAGGACAAGGCCGGGTATAATATGTACAGCTGGGGACTTTCTCCTGCTGAGGCCCCCTTCCTGGCCCCTGCCCACCGGGCTTTCCCCTTCCTGGCCCCTAATCCTGCTGATCGCTGCTCTGTGCTGGAGATTGGGGGGATAGTGTCTGGATCCATGCCACCCACTCTGAAGGGTAGCTCCAGGGGTAGACTGGGGATAGAGCCAGACCCAGGCAACCAGAGCAGGAGACTTGAGTCCCCTTTCCCCTTCCTCTCCCTGTCCCTCTACCTTGCCTTTCTTCTGGGGCGCTCGAAGCCCTGCCAGAGAAAGAGGAGGTACACTTTTCCTGCTGCCTATTCCAGGCATCTTGCAGCTCTCTCTCTGTCTAATCCTCGACTCCAGTGCCACAGGTGGCCTCCTCCCAGAAACCTCACCCTTCCCCTTCCTTCCTGGAGTTTGCAGAGAGCACTGTTCTTTGGGTATCAGACTGGGGCTCTGGTCTCAGCACTACCACAAATTTGCTGGGCAACAGGCCGAGCTCGTTTCTTCTTGGGGTGCCAACTTCCTTACCTAGGGAGTGGGCTTAGGAGTGCTGGGTGGAGCTGTGAGCAGATTAAATGGGGTGGGGTATGAATACAGCCCATGCCCTGGACATCTGAGAGGGCACTCCCTCCTGGAAGCCACCGGTATTGCACTGCTCCCCGAATTGAGCAGGGGTGAGAAGTGCCTGCCCAGCCCACCCCCTCACAGCTAGAGTTGACCTGAAATCGCTGGACATAGTAGTTGAGGGCTGGGAGGATGGTGAGCTCCCTGGGGGTGTGCAGACACTGGCAGGCTGTTGTAGGAGTGTGTGAACGTCCCACAGTGGGTGGGGATGGAAGCTGTGGCCTCTGGGGCACCTGTTCTGGCCCTGCTCAGGTAGGGCAGCAGTTGCTAGACTAGCAGATCCCTTCCTTCTTCCAGCCACGTCCAAGATGGGCCAGGAATGGAGGGGGGCAGGTCAGGGGCCTTGCCTGACTTCGAAGTCCCCCCAATGGTGCCTCTCTCCTTAGGGGAGAGAATGGTCCTGGGGGCTTCATCGTGCTGAAATCGGCTAGTAACCCCCGTGTTTGCACTTTCATCTGGATCCTTAACACAGATCTCAAGGTGAGGGTGCTGGGCTGCAGGGCAGGCTCGGTGGAGTAGAGGGGCTCTACTGTATGATCTCGGGGGCTCCCTGCTCTGCTCAGGGCCTCCCCTGCCCTCTGCCTCCTTTCTTACTCTCAGATTTGGGGCAGGGTCTGGATGGTCTTGTTGCCCTCAGTTGCTGGAGGGCCTGTGGCTCTCGTTTCATACGTCTCACTCTTGAGGTCCTGAGGAGGGGTGGCTGGCTACCAGCCCAGCCCCTCCTGGGTCTGTTTGTGTGGCTCATGCCAAGACCTGGGCACAGTATGTTCTTCCTGCCAAGGGGGAGGGGTCGAGGGTGGCCCAGGCGGCATTCCAGAGCTGCACCTGCATTCTGGCCCAGAGCACTCCCTGCGGTGCCAGTTGTTGAGGGAGCCCTGCCGAGAGCAAGCTGCCCTGGAACTAATTCCCGCCTTCCCCAGGGCCGCCTGCCTCGGTACCTTATCCACCAGAGCCTCGCAGCCACCATGTTTGAATTTGCGTTTCACCTGCGGCAGCGCATCGGAGAGCTGGGGGCCCGGGCATAACCATGTCCCCTCACTACCCTGCGGGCCAGGGTTCTGTCGCTACGGCCTCCAGAGCCAGAGGGGACCCATGGGACTGCCCACAGAGGACCTGGCCTCAAGCAGTGGGAGGAGGAAGTTCCCTCCCATGGCAGCCCCCTGACCCCAAGCTACCACGCTTTACTGTGCCTGTGCCACAGCCGTGAACAGGTTGTGGGGTCAGGCACCTAGACCAGGCTCTGCCACTGAGGCAGGTAGAGTCTGTCCTGCTGATGTTTACATGGCATCCCTGCCTCCTGGAAGGGGAGATCCACTGTGCCCTGCCTAGCCAGGGGCAGGGGCTGGAATGGGAGCCTCAGACCTGGTGGGAGAGGCCCAGGTCCTAGGCAGGATGGCGGCCCCAGCAGCCTTGTCACCACTGTTAAGGTGCAGGAGCCCCTTCATCTGCCTGCTCTCTCATCATGGTTTTGGGGGATTACTTAAAGGGTCTGGAACCTTTTTCCACATGTACTTTTGGGGGAGTGGGTGGCAGGTGGGGATGGCGGATGCTGTCAGTGAACTTCTGCCACTCCCAGGTTCTCCCCCACCCCCAGGGCCTCCTTGGGGACCTTTGTAATTTGAGCCAATTAAAAACATGGAACTCAAAAAAAGCAACCATCTAGCCTGGCCTCTTGAGGGAAGGGCAGGGTAGCACTGTGCAGGTGGGGAAGGAGTGAGCCACCACCGTGGCCAGATACATCACAGTCTCTCACACCCTGGAACCAGCGGGGGCTCAGTTCCTGGACTCTACCCCCAGCCCTCCCTGCACACACACACTCCCCTGAATGGTTCACTGGGCAGATGACTGGTCAGAGAAAAATGGCCCACCGCCCGCCAGGCTTCCTGTGAGGGAAGGTCAAGTTAAGGTCTCCAGTCCAGGGCTTGGGAGGAGGTAGGAGAGACCCAGCAGTGCCCATGGCAGGCTCTGGCTGTTTCTGGGATCCCATGACTGGCAGGGGGCTTGGAGGTGGGGCCTGGGCTTCCTGGTCACTGAGGCACCTCTGTGATCTCTGCTCCAGTCACATACCCCTCTGCCTGGCCACACTCTACTAGAGTCAGATCCCAGGTGAGCGCCAGGATGCTGCCCTCCCTCCCTGCCTGCAGGCTCCCAAAGGAGCCAACTTACTCAGAGTGGGGCCCGTTTCGGTCCTGGCTGTGTGTGACCCTGGGCACGTCTGCATCTCAGCCTCCATTTCCTGCTTTGTAAAATGAGACTCTTGGGTCACAGGGCTATTATTAGATTAAAAGATACCAAGACTCAGGTATAACGCCTCAGTAATCAAGAGTATGCAGTTTTGCCCCAGGTAGGTGCCAGCTGTCCCCACAAGATCCTCATCTCAGCTCCTGTCACCGCCTGTTCTGGTGCCCTTTGCTTCATCCACCCAGTGATTCCCATGTTCCTCCTCCCCCCGTGCCCACCACCCTATGTGCCAGCTTCTTACACCACGAGGCTGTCCCAGCAGCCATCCTGCTCCCTGTGAATGAGGGCCAGGCCCCGCCCAGGTGGCACATTGGAGTTGGCAGGCCCCAGAGCTCTGATCAGGCTGTTGTGACCAGAAAGTGGGGAAAAGGAAGCCCAGAAAGGGGCAGGGACTGTCCCATTGTCACATCCATTAATGGTTGATTTGGGGCTAGAGCCAGATCTGCTGACTGCCACTCATCGGAGCCCCTGGATTGCCACCTCACCCCGTTTCACCCCACTTGGGGTATTGGGAATAAAGCTGGGGGCCACTCCCACACCTACTTGCTCCACCGTGACTGGCTGGATTTGGAGACCACTCCTCTGACCACTGGCTGTGGAGAAGGAAAAGGTTTGTGCCCAGGCTCCCAGGTGTGGAATGAACTGCCAGTGTGTGGTGGTGGCCATCGAGAATTGGGCCTTTAGATGCAGACACCTGAGGGTGTGGTTGCACTGGCCCTTCCTGTGGAGGGACACAGGGATGTGTCCTTGAACCTAGGCAGCAGAGAGCAGAGGGCAGGGGCCTGACCACCTGGTACAGAGCTCAGAGGGGCCACAGTTCCTGTACTTTCCGACTCTGTTTATAGACAAGCCTCTGTCCTCCCTGGGTGAGGGGGAAGGGATGGAGCAGACAGCAGGTGCCAAGGTGGCACGAGGCTGGGCATGTGCCTGGTCTCAGACAGTGTCCAAGGAGTGTCAGACATTTGAGGTGTTGCTCTGAAGACCCCTGCCCCCACCGGAGTATCTGGATCTTTTCAGAAGCTGACCTCTGACCTGGTGCCAGCCCAGAGTCCAGGTGCCCCAACCCCCGCCCAGGGCCCAAAGTCCCCCATCAGAGTCTTGGCTCTTCTTATGGCATCTGACACCAGAGGGGCTGAAAATAGCCCCTGGAGGAGGGGGAGGAGGGGCTATTTAAAGGGCCTGGAAGGAGCAGAGCTGAGGGAGAGGCTGATCATGGCCACTTCTGAGCTGAGCTGCCAGGTGTCTGAGCAGAACTGTGAGCGCCGAGAGGCCTTCTGGGCTGAATGGAAGGATCTGACACTGTCCACACGGCCTGAGGAGGGGTGAGTGCTGGCGAGGTGGGGGTCCCTCCTCCCTTCCCCTACAGCACCCTGCCTGAGCCTTAGGGAGCAAGAGCACACAGTTTCCGGGGGTGGGGGCAAGGAGAGTGCCCACCAGGCAGAGCGAGGTAGGGTCACCCCTCTTGAGCCCAGGGGGTCCTCTGCCCAGCTTGTGAGTGAAGGGTAACAGCTCTCAGGAGCTCAGTGCCCTCTCCCCTCTCCTCCCCAGGTGCTCCCTGCATGAGGAGGATGCCCAGCGGCGTGAGACCTACCACCGACAGGGGCAGTGCCAGGCGCTGGTGCAGCGTTCCCCCTGGTTGGTAATGCGTATGGGCATCCTTGGCCAAGGGCTGCAGGAGTACCTGCTGCCTTACCAGCGAGTGCTGCCACTGCCCATCTTCACCCCCACCAAGGTGGGCACCACCAAGGAGGAGCACGAGGGTACCCCCATCCAGCTGCGGGAGCTGCTGGCACTGGAGACAGCCCTGGGTGGCCAGTGTATGGAGCGCCAGGACATGGCGGAGATCACGAAGCAGCTGCCCCCTGTGGTGCCTGTCAGCAAGCCAGGCACCCTTCGTCGCACTCTGTCCCGCTCCATGTCCCAGGATGCACAGAGAGGCTGAGAGGGACTGTGACTCAGCCTCCACTGTGCCCACTCTGGGCTGGGCCCTTCCTGGCTAGGATCATGGAGGGGAGCTGCTGGCCATGGATGCTTTGTAGTTTGCCCAAAGTTGGGGGCTAGGAGAGGAGGGAGCCAGAGGCCAGGATGCCTGGGTCTCCTGAGTTCCGAAAGGGAGGGGAGCAAAGACAGTGGGCACGAAGTGTGGACAGCTAGGGGCCAGCATAGCTGAATACCCCAAGCCCCAGGAGAAGGGACAAAAGATGCCTGAGGGGGTGACCCAGCTTCAGAGAAGGATGAGGGGAAGGAAGGAGATCTGGAATGCTATGGGAAAGAGGCTTGGAGAAGAGACGACCGGGGGAAGGGGGATGTGAAGAGGGCAGAGGCAGGGTGGAGCCCCCAGCACCCTCTTAGCGCTGCAATAAATGCTCAGTCGTGTTCCATTTTCATGTCTCCTTGTGGTTGTAGGGCCAGCCCATTGGTGTCACCTCCCCCCCTCCCCCCCATGCTCACTTCTGGGAACAGGCCCTGCATCTGAACTAAATATGGCAGAGCTAGTGGGTACACCCCATGTTTGGGGGGAACAGAGCTGTAAACAGGGGGCTGTCTGTCCAGTCACCCTTTGATACTCTTGACTGCTGTGCAGTCCTGGACTCTATGTCCAGTCGCCTGGCACAGGGCAGTGCCCAGGAGGCCAGCTGGCATCCAGGGTTTGTTTGATCTCTTGGAGAAGATGGAGGGAGCTGGCACTACGACTGTCCTTGGCTGTGCCTCAGTGTGTGGATGGGGTCAGTGACCCCAAGGCTGACCTGCCTCAGTTCTGAATCCAGACAAAAGCAATCTTGGTTGGGGTCAGGTGCTCCAATCCCAATCCCAGGGTGGGTTAGTTGGGGGTGAGGTGGGAGTCAGGTTCCTGTCTGTGACCCTTGCAGCTGTTGTGGTGACTCATGTTCCAACCTGGCTGCCTGGCCCAGCAAGGAGACACTTTCGCCTTAGGACAAGGTGGTGGGGTTAGGGGGGAGGCAGAGGGGCACAGAGCAGGCCAGGGAACGGCAGCCTGCCCAGGGCAGAGCGGCACTGGACTGTCCCACTCCAGGACAACCCTGGAGATGGCCCTGCAGTATCCACTTCCTGTTGGGAGTTTAAGAGGCATCTTAGCCTGGTATCTGGAGCTCCAAGCTGGACCTGCAGGCCGGGCCTGGCCTGGCCACTCCCCCAGAGGGGGCTGGAGTGCGGGCTGGGAGAGGAGAGGGGTCAGAATCCCAAGACTGGCGGGACCCCAAATCCCTTGGCACCAGAAGGCTGAGGCCGCGCCCCCTGGTGCCCCTGGCAGCCTGGCGAATGGCCCTGCGCCCTCTGTCCTCACCTGGGTCGTGCGCCCTGGACGTGGCCCGAATGTCCCGAGCCGTCCGCCTCCGCGGGCTCTGAGCCAGCGGTGGAAGAGGTCCGGCTGTTCCGTCTGCTAAGTGCATTAGGCCGCCTCGCTTCCCTCCCTATCGCTGCTGCCATCGGACGGGTGGGGCGAACTCCGCTCTGGGGCCTCGGGGCGACCCTGGCGGAAGCCAGAACGCACTGTCCTTT